AGATGGATTGGATGGTATACTCCAGATGGATTGGATGGTATACTCCAGATGGATTGGATGGTATTCTCCAGATGGATTGGATGGTATACTCCAGATGGATTGGATGGTATACTCCAGATGGATTGGATTGTATACTCCAGATGGATGCATGATTTTCTGCGTGCATTTTGCCAGCGCTTTCATCTCTCCCTAATAAATATGCTAATATGTAATTTCCCAGAGTAGAGCTGTTGAGTTGCATTATGGGAATTGAATTGGAAGAGTGAGTGAAAAATGAATAATATAGTTGGGATTGCTGTGTTTTTAACTTTATTTTCTCTTGTTATTATATCAAGGTAACTACTCTGTAGTCGAGGTGGAGTTTTACTTCAGCCGTCGCCTTGGCTACTTCTTGATTCAAGTATACGCGCCAGACATCTTCATCGTCATGCTCAGTTGGATAGTCTTTTGGATGGACAGAAATGATATGGGCAATCGTATGGCTCTGGGAATCACTACAATACTGACCATCATGTTCCTTATGGGATCTATCAATGCTGCCATGCCGCGTGTCAGTTACCCTAAAGCACTCGATTGGTATCTTATGATATCGTTTGCCCTGGTGTTCCTGGCCCTGATAGAATGCACTTTCGTTTTTGTTTTGCTGAAGAAGAAGCAAAAGAAGAAGAAACAAAAGGTAACTGAAAGCCTTGTAAGACCCATTAAAATTGTAAATGCTATTATAAAATAACTGTTATGAATGTCGCGTTCTTATTGGTTTGGAGCGCGTGCTTTATGGGAGCGCGTGCTTTATGAGAGCACATTGCACGCGCGCGCACTTTCCGTTGCGTCATTCCTATCTATTATTGTATATAAAGCACTTGGGGGTTGGCAGAACACTCGAGAAGTGTCGAGAAGCACTCCGCTACGCGTCGTGCTTCTCCTAACACTTCTCTCGTGTTCTGCCAACCCCCGCGTGGTTTATGACTGCACACAGCAAGCGCGCGCGTTTTCTATTTCTTCATCAGTGCAACATGGAAAACGTTTTTTTTTATCGACATCTCAGTCTCAAAATTTCTCACGTACTCATATCTGCTGGTGGGCCTGGTATTTTTTTTTTTTTTTTTTTCTTGACGGTGGCTTACAATTGTTGCCAATGCAATGAAATGACGAATTAAGGAATGTTTCCCCAATTTTTATTGGTTGATAAATCAAAATACTTTTGTTTAATCATATCAATATGGTGGCTATGACAACTAGCAAACATAAATATTTTGTGAATGACAGACTTAGTCTACCTTTTAGTTTGTTGTTTTAGCATTTTAGACCACATGTCATTCTCTTGAATAAGATTCCTTGCTTTAGTTGTATCCATATTCATGTGTCTTCTCATATGCAACCGTTAAACAAAGAAATGATATTTTGGGGAATTACACGGTCTGAAATAGAAAAACATTACGACAAAGGTAAAGAGGTGTCTATTACTCGGGCTACACTTTCAAATTGAAAAATTGCTTGCAGCAGAGAGCCCGAGAGAAAATTTAATCGATTATTTTTTCAAATATTTATCWTTTTTCTAGACCGAAATCAAAAGCAAGAAGTGTCCACCACTAGAACGTGTCCTTTGGGTCAACGAAAACTCATGCCCACGAAAGAGAGACAGCAAGACTAACTGGTCAGAAGAAACAAGAGACCTTATCGAAACGAGCCCAGGGAATGGCAAGCAAAAATCCATCATCGCCCATCTATCCCTACAAGAGTTAAATAACAAGACTGATACGCACAAGCAGATGACGGAGACACACGAGCACGACGATGACAAAGGAATCGATTGTACGGTTGATAACCTTGCTAAGGGGCTATTTCCGCTTATATTCCTGGGTTTTAACATTTTGTATTGGTCACTGTATCTCAAATTATTGGAGTAAAACTATTCGAGGGGTAGAAGTAGGTGCTGCGGCTAGAGAGGTGAGGCGGATCCAGGGAGTCCAGGTGCATTTTGATAATGTTTTTTTGATAAGGCTGCGTTCATAATGTATGACAGAGGGGGGGGAGGGGGGTGTGGGAGCAGGAGATAAATGTCCAGAATAATTCTTAACACCCCCCTTAAAGTCATGCAAAAAAATACGATCCCCCTAAGCAAGGCTTGTAGCTTCTTCCAAAAATTGTGCATCCCCCCATTTTTCTGATAAAAATTTGCCCATCCCCCCTTTTTCCTACCAAAATTTTCCCGATCCCCCCTCAATTTCACCTGCCTCCCCCTCTGCCATACATTGTAAACACAGCCTAAGTAGCCAAGACTAGACAAATTTTCAAAGGTCTTAGTTAGGTAATTTAGCATTATTATAATTACGGAAGTGAAAAGTCCAATTGAAGATCCAAAGAGTCTTTAACAAAAAAAATATAGTTAAGAAAATAGGTTAGTTAATGAAGTCAACAACAAATGGTGAGTTCAAATAATGTGAATGAAACATCGGATGTAGGTGATGATGTGAACTGATGATGATGCTGATAATCATGATTATGACTGATGATATGATAATAGTTATGGTAAGGGAGTCTCCCCATATCGAATTGATGATGTGATATTTTCTGTTTATGAATAATGATGCACAATGTTGATGATGATATTGATGATGATGATGATGTTTATTGATGATGATGATGGTAATGATGACACTAGCTGATGACTATGATGATACATAATGATTATGCTGATGATGATAAATGTTGATGATGATGTTTATTGATGATGATGATGGTAATGATGACACTAGCTGATGACTATGATGATACATAATGATTATGCTGATGATGATAAATGATGATGATGTTATAATGCTGATGATTATGGTAAGGGCTTTCCCCCATATCGAATGGACTACTTCGACGATACGGCGGCCATCTTGCCAGGGGGCAAATGAAAACAAAGACGGATGGAAAATGTATAGAGTATCGTGTGCTTGTCTTTCTTTTATGCCGGCCGAAAGTGATCAATGTGCCGTCTTAGTTCACGTTTTGTTGCCGTTTTTTGCCCCCTGGACGCCACATAATACCTTGTGAGCCAAGATGGCCACCGTATCGTCGAAGTAGTCTATGAAGTGTTATTTTTATGAATAATGATGAAATGATACATGATCTTGGTGATGATGTTAATTAATGGTGCGGCTATGATGATGATGATGATTTTGATGATTGATGATGAAAACGACGGTATTGATTTTGCTGCTGCTGATGATGATGATGATGCACAAATGAATTTTGATACACTGCCCTGGATCCGCCTCCTGATTTTTAGCAAAACTGTTAACATTATTGACAAAAAATTGCCCTTTTTAGGAGGATTATCATAACTAAACTGATTTTAAAGCAGTAAAAAAAGTGTTTATTCGATGGCATCGAAAAATAATATATAGCTTTTATATGTGGTAGGGTTTATCTGTTCTTTATTCTAGTGCGTTTACTGATTAGTAAATCCGAAATTGAGATTACTGAGTATATTTGGGTTTCAACTCTTAAAAAAGAAAAAAATAAAATAAAAAAATAAAAAATAAAAAATAAAATTAAAATAAAAATGAAAAAGGTAATGGGATTAACAGTGCATTCCGCAGAGTGGCTCTTCTCCCACTGGATTCCAATTGGAATTTTGGAGTTGATTTTTTCCAACTCTAGATAGAGTTATTACATGCAGTTATTGTGATAAGTATACATTCTAAACATAGCATAATTACTCTGTAAGATTAATATATTTCGGATGGGGTACCCAATGGTATTGAAAACAGTATTTCTTATATATGTTTAGTACGTATCCATTCCTTGGATGAATTCTCTAAGAGGTGTTGTATACGCACCAGGGGTTCAATTGCACTATATGAATCCCGTAGCCATTGGTCTAGCTTACTATTCGTTTTATAAACCTAGCCTCGCATTTGTGTATCCTACAGAACAAATTTAGTATCACACCTGATTAAAATTGCGTTTTACAGCATGTATTTTAGAGACTTATTATTAATAATGTTTCGTTCAGCTAATTTCTATCGGAAAAAAATCCGAGCTTCTTACATGTATTTTTTTGAGCATTATTTTGTTACAATGTCATGATGGTGACTTAATTTCGTTTTATAGCATGTATTTTAGAGACTTATTGATAATGTTTTGTTCAGCTAATTTTTATCGGAAAAAAATCCGAGCTTCATACATGTATTTTTTTGAGCATTATTTTGTTACAATGTCATGATGGTGACTTAATTTGCACCCATTTTATCATGTTCCATTTTGTTGCTCTTAAATATTTTTATATTCATTAACGAACCGAGTGTGATAAACCTATGGTACTATACAGCACCGATTTGCACATCGATTTATTTAATTTCCTCATAGTATAACGAATTATAACAAACTAAACTAAACAAGTTAAAGTTCCAATATCATTCTCAAAAAGAGTTATTCTCGACTTTCACATCCCCATAATGCCTTGAGTTTTGGGGGGTAACCAATTAAAAACCTTTCCCAAATGAAAAGTTTCTTAATGGAATTTATACTATACCTGCTTTTATCTGTACAATACTGATTATTAGTTTATTCCAGGTTATTTTTGCGTGTACAGATCATCAAGAGTTTTGGTCTTACAGAAAATGTATTGACTTACGTAAAAATTTTTTAAATTTACCTTAAAGGTCTTTAAGCTTCTATCTTTTTCTGTTTTTTACTTCTTCATTTTATCTTTGGATACCAAACATGGTATTGTCAACATTGTCTGATCAGCCTTCAGCAAAATAAGTGGGTTTTTACCCTCTGGTTACCCCACAAAGACGCAAAGGATTATGGGGATGTGAAAGTCGAGAGTGGGCCAGAACACTAAGGGTCGTTGAAACATGAATTTGAATAAAGGAAACATTTGTTGATGTCTGATACATTAAATCGTTTTTCTCTTCCGCCATTTTGTTCTTTTCCTTTTTTTCTGAGTATGCGCAGTACAAAATGTATAAAACGTATTTGCGCGCGCAAGCGTACATTGTAGAATCTTAGAGGTTTTTAGCATGAAAGTATGATCGTTTAGATCTTTTCTATTTTGTCCTTTCTCTTGTCATAGTGTCTTAAAAACATACGATAGAGTGAAGGCATTTAACCCGTGAAATAAAAAAATACTAGTCAACGTGTAATAGTGAAATAGACATAGTCTTAAAAAGATACGATAGAGTGAAGGCATTTAACCCGTGATATAAAAAAATACTAGTCAACGTGTAATAGTCAAATAGACACAAAAGAAAACAATGGAATTAGGGTCTACTAAAGTGTGTTAGTCTAATATCTATTTCACGGGTTTAATGACTTCACTCTATTAAGTTTTATCCCATTTAAGTTTGGAGAATACGTATGCATAATTTCCAAAACGAGTCCCACATGGAAAAGAGTGACAATGGACGTTTAGTCATCGGCAACAGAGGCGAAATACTAGGTCTGCTGGTCATAGCAAGGGGTTAATCATCTACGGTCTAGGGGCCGACTAACCTCTCCCTTAGGCTACGGCCGAGCTTCCTGATCAGTCTGTAATTCCTCCCGGGATAGCGGTGTCGGGGTCGAAATCTCTGGCGTAGCCGTAAATGCTTCGCGCTACCATACCACGCTTCAGCATTCGGGTCTGGGAGTATGGTCTCCGGTTATTTATTTGCATATAATTGACTCAATCAAAAAAAATATATTTCCAAAAAAACATCGACATTTCAATTTCAAAATCTGGAAACGAAGAATTTCATTGGGTATGCGGGTCTATTTCCGTACATGCAGATGACGTTTTCTTTCGTAGTACGATTCTATCAGCATAAAAAAAATCTTTAATATCTTTCTGGGTTTTTCTGCTTTTGTTTTAAAGTTCTTTGATTCTTTGATGAATTTTGTCACGCTGGCTTATCTTCTATTGAAATGACAAAGGATTATCTTCTTTAGGCAGCATTCAAATAGCTTCTATCATGCATGCTCTGGCGCTTTGTTCAGTTTATAAAGTACGCAATCGTCGGATTGACAAAATAGAATCATTTTGAATTCCTAGAAAAACCGAGAATTTCCTTCGATCCATATCTTCAAGTGAGGGAGACAAGTGTCTTGTGGTAACTCGTTCTTATTGGTAAGGAAATAGTTTGATTGTTCGATGCAAAAACTGTTTTTGCATCAATAATATTTCACCATTGGCAATCTTATGGGTTGGTAGGAATCCATAACTTTTTCACCTTTCTATAAAAAGATTCTAACAGTTTGAAGTCATGCAGTTTAATTCGAGTCTTAATTCTCTGTAAGTTTGACAGACTGATGCTCTTAAAGTGCCTATCACCCTTTTTTTTTTACTTTTTTATATC